GGAATATAGAAGATAAGTCAAGAGATATACGGAAATGGAAATAGATGTTTATAAAGAGTCATAGGAGAACAAATATAAGTAATATGATAATGAAATATAAGACTATGTGAATACATGGTTATGAGATAAAATATGTAATAATAGGAAAATATGATGAAAGTGAGTTCATGGGAAGTAATATGAACTAGGTAAACATGGGTAACAGTATATGCATAATGGAAACATGAGTTGGACAAGTACATAGTGGTATGATTTATTATGAGAATTAGTATAATAGAGCTTTTTTATTTAATGAGAGTTAAGGAACTAAATAAGATTGAATTATAGAATGAAATGAATAATATTAATTAAAACTTGAATATAAAGGGACGATACGAATATGCAAGATAAGTTATGCTAATATCTATGGAGCTATATGAAAAGATTATAGAATATGAAATTGAATTAAGTAAAGAGATTAAATTAGTACCTAAATAAAAATACATTAAATGATATGTTTGGAAATACGACAATTATAATCTAGGGAATACAAGAAATGGAGATAAGGTAGATAATATGATATCAGTTATTATATCTATATGATATATCATCAGATAATATGAAAGGACTCGAAAATTGATATAAGCTATGAGAAAGTGGTCTAGGTGTTTCTATGTGTTATATGAAGCATATGATCATATGTGAACAAGATATGATATGTATGTTTATATGATATCTGAGAAATGATCTAATATATGATATGATATATGTTATATGCACTTTGGGATATATGTTATGAAATGGATCTATGTGACTACGTGAGAAAGTATATAAGCTATGTGATATGTAAATGTGAATCATATGAAAATGTTATATGAGTAATTGAACTATGTGTATATATGAATATGTGAAATGACAATGCCCATGTTATGTGTCTTGAGAGTTAGAGGTATGGTTGACATGCCAAGAGTCGAGGGTCTACGCGGTCCTTCGGGACATATATGTATTCCTTGGAACATGTGTGATGTCTTTTGAGACACATACTTGATCCTTTGTATATATATATATGATTCTTAAGGAATTTCTATGTGGTCCTTCGGGACAAATTCTACGCGGTCCTTCGGGATAAATTTCTACGCGGCACTTCGGTGCAAAATTCTATGTGGCACTTCAGTGCAATTTATACGGAGCTGTGGTGACAGCATTAGTGCACAACCTCTATAGACTCACATATCCATAGTTCTCACATGTGTACATGGGCTAATAAAGAAATAACAACAAACATATTACATGTGACTTGTATGCTTTTGTGCTATGAATGATAGTATTTAATTTATATGATGAGATGTTGATGGTATGATTAAATGAGTCAATGTTGGTTAAAATACTAGGTATAAGATGATATGTACTAAGTGATATAAACGATAATAATATTGATAATGAAATATGGCTAGAGATGGAAATGATGAGTGACGAATATATGTGTGTGTATATATGTTCGTACATGTAATGATGTATTGCATAGGTGTTATAGGGATTTGTTACATGAATCAGGGTATGAGTGGTAGCATCATGCATGATTACAAGCTATAGTTTATATTACATGTTTATTTGCCTCACTAAGTCATCGACTTAGCGTGTGATTGTTTCATAATTAGGTTACAGAAGCGAGAAGAGAAGCGAAGAAGAGTAAGTCAAGTCAGCACCTCCCTTACAAAATTTCAGATCAAAAAATAGAGGATTTAAATGATTTTGGTCATTTTGAATATAGTTGGCATGTACTAATTGGTTGAATTATGTATGCTCTGAATGATTTTGGTTATTGTGGTCAGTTTATGTAACTAAACCGCTTTTAATTTAATGAAAGATTTAAAGTTTCTTTGAATTTTGTCAAGAGTCAAAGTTTGAAAAGTCAATGTGACACCTCAGACTCGTATCCGGGTCGGGTACGGGTTAGGGGTGTTACAGTTTTCCACCCAAGCTAGTAGTTCTAGATGGCCCAAAAAGATCTAAGTGGATCAATTGTAATACTCTACTAGTTGACACATCATTAATGGATTTAAAAGAAACTCGCATTTGTTTTCCTTTAGCACAAGCATCACAGATTTTATCATTATCAAATTTTAGTTTAGGCAGCCCTCAAACCAATTCTCCTTGAACTAACCGTTGCAAAACACTCATACTAGCATGTCCTAGTCTCCTATTCCATAACAAATTATCATGCTCATCCCTAGGAACTAGGCACAAAATAGTCATATCAATAAAATCTAAATGCATCATGTATATATCCCTATTTTATGACCAACAAGCATAATCGAAAATAGATGCAATGTCAATCAATTTTGCAATCATTTAAAATAAAAAATTGTATCTTTTATCAAATTTATTTTTCAAAAGATTATGCTTTTAACCCATTCACATATAAAACATTATGCAATGTTGATTATAGAGATTAAGAGCACATGCATAAAGTTTTTGAAAATGTTATGCATTAAAACTTTATAATATTTAAACAAAAATCTATGCATAAACATTAAGAAAAATTTCAGGTCAAAATTTTGCAAAACCAAAGTTCTTGAAAATCGATATCAATTGTTAAAGAGATATCAATTAAATTTTAAAAACAATTTTGACCAAAAATTAATATAATGAACTAGAGTTTATAAAACATTACCAAAAATTACCATGTTCATCATACAATATTTTCCAACATACATGAGATAAAACATAATTCAACATTTTAAAACCTCATGCATGCATAAACTAAATGAGCAACCAAATAATAAAAATATTAAGTTTAGAGGTTACCCATTCCCTTTTTATGTGTGGCTAGAGCATCTTGAATATCATCATCTTTATCACCATGGCTCTCATACACCTACAAGAGACATTTAAGTAGATTTTGGTATCCAAATTGCTTTGGATCCTTGAACATTAGTTTCAATGCCTCTTGTTCCTTTTGGAACCCATACTTGTCTAATTTTAAATCGTTTTCCTTTCTTTAAAGGACAAGTATGTTCCTTATGACCATGATAATGACAATGTGAACATATTGTCATTATTGAACTAGATGAATTATTTAGAATGATCTCTTTTTCTCTTGTTAAACATTAAAGCTTATCTTTCAAATTGAAATTTTCTTTTTCAATACTTTCAAACTTCATTTTTGAGAGTTCTAAATCCTTCTTTAAGATTTCATTTTGATTTTCAAAATCCATTTTCATTTCTAGAAGAAGTTTGTTTAATTTGAAAATTTCTTTTTCAAAGTTTTCAAATTTTATTTTTGAAAGCTTTAACTCCTTTCTCAACATTTCATTTTGATTTTCCAAGTTTGTTTTAGCTTTCAAAAAGAAGATCATTTTTAGCAATAAATTTAGAAATCAATTTATTATATTTGGAGTTCATGGTCTCAAACTCCGAAAAGAATTCATCATAAGCATCTTGTAACTCATTAAAAGATTTTGAAGTTAATCTATTTGAGTTAGAAGATACATTTGGCTCTGTGAGAGCTAATAGAGACATCACCTTTATTGGTTCTTCTTCTTCCTTGTCTCCATAGATCTTTTCAAGCTTATCCCACATCTCATTGGCATTTGAACAAGAAGAAACTCCTTTATATACATTAGGATCAATTTCACAACACAACATATGCATAGCTTTTGTATTTTGTTGAGCTTTCTTCCGTTCTTGATCACTCCACTTCTTTGTCTTCTTTGTAGGAGAAGAATATCCTTTCTCGATCATCATCCAAGCTTCCATATCAAATGCTTGGATAAATATCATCATAAGCTTCTTCCAACGACGATAATTTGTTCCATTGAAGTGTGGAGGCATGTCAATTGGTCTGGATTCTTCCATGGATAATGAACCGGAAGTGGACGCCATCTTTATCGATTTAACTCTTCCCGGATCTACTCAAGAGGAAGTTAAACCTTCAAATGAGTTAAGCTTTGATACCAATTGTTGAGTTAATCGATCGATGGAATTGGCCAAGAGAGGGATGAATTGGCAATAAAAAAATTAGTTGAAGCTTTTGCAGAAAATTGAAAATATTTGCACAACGATTTAGAGTGGTTCGACTTTCTCAACCAAAGTCTACGTCCACTACCTTAGCTATCCACACTAAGGATTTTCCAAAAAATTCACTAATTTGTTCTTTCTTTTGAGGTCAAAGAGTAACCTTACAACTCCCTCAAGAATTATACCCCAAATTCTTGAGCACACTCTTTTTCAAAGAGAAATACACAAATTTGCAAACTTACAAGGAAAACCTCACAAGGTAGATTGTTTGCACAATTCTAGAACAAAGAAAGAACACTCAAGGATAAATACAATAGAGCACAAATGGTGTTCTTGAAAGCACAATGAATATTGAATGAAAAATAGGCTTGAAGTGCTCAAACAATGAGTTTGATGCTTTCTCTTTGATTCTCTCTTAATTCTTGATAATTGTTGTTTCTTGTTATTGATCAATGGCTTCTAAGCTTGTTTAAATACTCCTTCAATTGATTTTGAATGTTGGGGATGATTTATGGAGTTAATGGAGCCGTTTTATTGTGAAATCAATTAATAAAACAGCTTGGAGCGTGGGGGGAATTGATACCCCCTCATAGGGAATCGGTACCCCTCTAGGGGGAATTGGTACCCCTCTGGGGGGGAATCGGTTCCGTCCGAGCATTCTATTTTTCTCGGAGCCAAACCATTTAGGGGGAATCGGTACCCCCTTGGGGGAGAATCGGTTCCCTCTGGACATTCTGGAATTTTTGGCTTTGAAACGGTTCGAAATACTTTGTAAAATTGTTTTGAAATAATTTTAAGATTAAAACTTAATTTTATACTTGAGTAAGGATTAAAAATGACTTTTGAAAGATTTGGAATAATATTTTGATATTCGAATAATTATATTGAATATACTTAGAAAATCTTTTTGGAAAATCTTAAAATTCATTTATCTTAATTTGTTATATCGAAATATCAAAATGTTTTCAACATTATTGATTGTATTTGTTTTTTTATTACAGTTTAGAAGATCAAATGAAGCTGTCATGCAAAATCAAACAAGTAGTTCAAGGTCACAAAAACCTGCAGGGGTTCATACTATTAGATGCATGCCCACTCCCACTATATCATTGAGTCAAGATAGTTGTGTCACTCAATCGTCTCCCCATCAACAAGTTCCAACACTAAATCAAGCTGCGATGCAAAATCAAAGAACTAGTCCAAGGCCTTCACAAGGCTATACTGTTATATGGATGCCTACCCCTACTGTCCACATAGGCAACAAACGTTTTTGAGTCATTCATCTCCAAAGAGGCATAAAAGTGATACTTCAGGCAACCAACCATCTCCACAAAACTAGACCTTTTGTTTGATATTTTGAATAGTGCATTTGACCATACACATTATAATGCTTTGATCAGCTGATATTGTTAGGTTTTATGGTGATAGCTGATATTGTTAGATTTTGTTGTGATAGCTGATATTGTTAGGACATGTGAGGGATAGCTGATATTGTTAGGTTTTGTGGTGACAATTGGCAATAACTTATGTATGTCGAAATAATTGTTCTCTAAATCTTTTGTGTATTTGCTTATGTGTAGTGGTCAAACATTCAATGTATGTCATATACTGGCTTGAAAATGAATTCAATGATATTTTTTGTATGTTTTATATCCTTATATTTGAAACATTTCCTTAAAACAAATCTATCTCACAAATTTAACATTTCATTAATACTTAAAGCATTACACTGAAAATAACAGGTTACATACATTGCATCTTCAATTCTAACACAAGTCTTGCATCTTTAATTCTAACACAAGTCTATTAACCCATACAATGTAGTTAACAACACAACATAATATTACCCTAAATTACTCCCACAAAAAAGACAAAAAACAAGACTTAAGTGATTATAATTCCCACTATCACTCCCACAAAGAAAACAAGACCAGAAGTCAAAATCCAAGCAGATTTTCGTTTCCTTTGTTCATCCTCCATAGCTCCAATCTTTCTTAGAAGACCAACAATAATAGCTTTTGACCGATAACTTACTGGTGGATCATTCCAGCAAAAAACTTGCAAACCCGAGCCCTTTTTCCATAATTTCCACAACCCAAAATCTCCTACCAGGATTTTCGTCGGTACATCCGATTGTTAGCGTCGAACGAACTCCACATAAGCATATCCGATTCTCATTTTCTTCATCCATGTTTCGAAGCAGTCTTCTCTTCTTCTTCCTTCACTCTTTGTTTCTTCAATTTCCAATATCTATGTTAGGGTTTTTAGAATGATAAAACATTTGAATTTTAAACTTTGGGTGCCCTTTAAATGGTTTTTTTTTTCTTATGCTTTAATTGAGGTGGCGTGATGCATGTCGATGACGTGCATGTCAAACCTGGAAACAATAAGCTTAGTCAGCAGCCATGTCGGACTCTCCATTTTTTTAACGGAGAGTGGTCTGATTGAATCAATTAAAAAGTTTAATGGTTGAATTGAGACAAAAAATAGTTCGGTGACAAGATTAATTAATGACTATAGTTTGGTGGTCTCCCGTGTAGTTTACCCAATTAGTAATATGGCACACGTAGAGTTCTTCACTTATCCACGTGTGTGTATGCTTATTGTTTAAGAAAATCATTTTTATTATTTTTTTTAACTTTAAATTCTATTACCAAGACTCAATAAACTTCTTTTCAGCCGGCATTCTCTCGCCGTCGGTGGGCTTCCCTTTTCAAAAAGAAAAGCATCCCTTCAATAAACAAACGGTTCTGATTACATCCTTTTTACCAGAGACTGAGACAAAGAGGCTATGGCGGGAATGAGTGATTCGGTGTCTATCAGGGTTCCCTACAGGAACTTAAAGAAGGAATTGGAGGTTGAAATGATCGAAGATCCTCATCTTCGGATCGATCTAAATGCATCTCCTAACTCTCCTTCAACTTCTTCTTCCTCGCCTCCGTCTAGGGTTCCTAATGGAAACACCGACTTATCGTCGCCGATCGACGCCGGATCTAAGAATTGTAGCTTGATAACTCTGGTTCTTAGTTGTACGGTCGCCGCTGGGGTTCAATTTGGTTGGGCTTTGCAACTATCGCTATTGACGCCATACATTCAGGCATTTCCAATGCTTTTTTCAGTTCCCTTCAGTCTTGTAATTTGTGTTAGTACAAGTAAAATTTAACGGGAAAAAATAGATTATTGACTATAAATGTTCTAAAGATTGAATTCAATGCAATGTGGTTGTGTTACGCTTAGTTTTATCAATTAATGTCATCTTTGTTGGTATTCTTGAATTAATTAGTTTGTAGATGCGACAATACTTTTTCATGATTGTTTAGTGGCAATTTTCTTTATTTGAAATATCAAGGGCAGTGCTTAATATCAGCTAGGTAACAGATACATTTTGCATGTTGATTATTTGGCATGCCTGCGTATCAGAGAAAATTGTTGTGGCCGTTTTTTGAGAACATTTTGCATGATAAAATAATTCTCAAAATCTTTTGTCAACTTCATGCGCTTGTTATAGTATCTCTTTATTTATCATTTTTATCATTAGCTGTATTTCTTTTCGAGTGCTCTGAGCTTCCCTTGAGCTTATAATGCTTTCTTTTCTTCATAACCGTATTTTTATTGATTCTTGCAGACACTTGGAATAGAGCATGCTTTTTCTTCATTTATTTGGCTTTGCGGTCCAATAACTGGTCTTGTGGTAGGTTGTGGGAAACAATATTGCATATAATTCTATATTATTACCATTTCATTTTTTATGTTTAACTTGATAGATCTGCTTTAATAGTTTGTGTTGTGTGTTAAACTAGCTCATAAAATAGCTGGGGCTAGCTTTCATGTATCCTGAGCCCTTCATACCCCAGGGATCTTGTAGTACTTCTAATGCTTATCTGTATTTACGATTTATTGGGTTGCTTGCATTTTGATCTTAGGTTCAACCTTGCGTTGGTATTTGGAGCGATAAATGCACTTCTAAATATGGAAGGAGGCGGCCTTTTATCCTTGCTGGAGCGCTCATTATCTCTCTTGCTGTAAGCATTGAAGAAGTGTTTTATCTGTGAAATAATTCATTCTTTTATGCTTAGTTTAGATTTTTATATATTCTAAACTAGGTTTTGCTATCTAGGTGATAGTTATCGGGTTTTCTGCAGACGCTGGATACATATTAGGTGATACAAAGGAGCACTGCAGGTTTCCTCTTCTGCCTTTGATTCATTCTCTTCTCTTATAGCCAACTCCCCATCCCTTTTTCTTCCTACTGCAAAATATGAAGAGATTGACCTAATAATGTCTGCAATTTAGTACATTTAAAGGTACAAGAACAAGGGCAGCCTTTGTCTTTGTTATCGGGTTCTGGATGTTGGATCTTGCTAACAATACAGTGCAGGTAAAGTCTTACATGACAATTATTTCTTCATTTTATGCACTTGAGCTAATAATGGAGGTCTTTTTCAGGGACCAGCACGCGCCCTTTTGGCTGATCTATCAGGTGAATCCCCTTAAGAATAGTGGAAACAGAAAAACAGTTAGTCTATACATAGTAATATTGTGATGTCTAGCATCAGCGGGCAGGGTTCAAGCCCTGTGCATCCCATCCTCTTCCCCCAAATTTGTAGTGATAAAAAATACCTACCACCAGTGGCCAGGTTTCAAGCTCCGTGCAACCCATTCCCTTCCCCCAAATTTGTATTGATGAAAAAATGTAATGTCTAGGTTGGATGCCTATCACTTACTAGGCCTTATAATACCACACTTATTTGAATACTGTACATGACAAGATGCTGGATGCCTATTTTTTAGGTCCTGATCAACACAACTCTGCAAATGCTATATTTTGCTTGTGGATGGCTGTTGGAAACATCTTGGGATTTTCAGCTGGTGCTAATGGGAATTGGCACAGGTCGAAATCTTTTAATGTGATCTTCTTGTGATGTAACAAACAATTATAGACACATAGTAATTTGGAGCATTGATGAATAAATATCCAATTCTTACGAATTATGTTGACACAGATGGTTTCCGTTCTTGGAAAGCAGAGCTTGCTGTGAAGCCTGTGCCAATCTTAAAGCCGCATTTCTTGTTGCTGTGGTAAGTAGCAATATCCGTTGAAGTTTTACTAATAAAAATTTATAGGATGTTAAAATTGAAATTCTTCATATAAATGTTAACTGAAGTACATTTGTATGTGTCAGTTTATGCGTTGGATTATGGTATGTCACTTTCACATGCTTACTGACTAGAGAAAGAGTTTTAAATACAAGCATGACATTTTCTGTGACTGAAGGTCATCTAAAAATGCCATTTTCTTTGCTTATGTTGTGGACCATTTATGGCATTTATCATATCCTTCTAATTCCATCATCCATGAGCTATGAAATAATTTTTTTTTTCCATTTTTGTTGTTGGGATGTATATTCACTAACAATGTAGACCTGTAGTATAACTTCTCTAAACTTAAAGTGCTTTTCCAATAGCTAGTTCTTGTGATTGATTGTTAGTTTTGTGTTTTTTTGGTCTAATGTTTTCTTATCACTTAATTTGATGTCAACATGTTTATGCTTAAAAAATTGTTTTGCATTTCTGCAGGTCTTTCTCTTATTCTGTACTATCGTGACTCTATGTTTCGCTAAGGAGGTTCCACTTCTGCCACCAGCAAAGCAGCCAACTCATTTATCAGATTCTGCTCCTTTGTTGGATGGTTCAACACAGAAGGGCTTTAAACCCTCAAAATCAGAAACGGATGCATCCATTGTTGCCAATGATAATAGGAACATTACTGGAAACGGATATGAACGAGTGTCAAACTCCAATCATGCTAACTCCCAAGATAACAATGCTCAAAATGAAGTTTTTAGTGATGGACCTGGAGCCGTACTGGTAAACTTACTGACCAGTTTAAGGCATTTACCACCTGCAATGCACTCAGTGCTTGTTGTCATGGCCCTTAGTTGGGTAAGTTTCGACATTTTCTCTATGCTTTGATACCTTAGAATTGGGATTGAGTTATTTATATGTTAATTGATAGTGGAGTGTTACGATTGTGTTTTAGGGATTAATAGGTTACTTCATGAATGAGAGACTGAAACCTTAGGACTTGTTAAAGAGAGACCCGGACCTCCTTTTAGGATTTTGATAAAAATTCTGCTCATCTTCCATAGGTCCCTTTAAACAGAGATTACAATAATTAAAAAAAGTCCTACCAAAACACACCACCTATTCTAGAAGCCCTAAAACAATTAGGCTCCGTTTGTTTTCGAAAAATGTTTTATGTTTTTATTTTCTATTTTCATTTAAAAAATAAATTTTAATTTTTTTATGTTTTGGAAATTGAGAAACATGTTTGGTAAATAGAAATTAAATTTTGTTTTCATTATGAAATTACGAAAACATGACATAAAATGAAGAAAATCCCTTCATTTACATGGATTCAAACCAGGGCTAGAGATTTAATATTTAAAAATAGAATATTTTGTGTTTATATGGATTCGAACCTGGGTTAATTTATTAAGTTATAAAACCATTGTTAACAACTTTTTCAATTTTATAAAACATTTTTAGTGAAAACAATAAAAACCTATTATTGTTTTCTAATTTTCACGTATTTTCATTTTCAAAAAGTCATATTCAAAGTTTTCAACCAAACAAGTTTTCTTTAGTGTTTTCCATATTCTAAGAAGATGAAAACTAAAATGGCCTATGTTCCTGAAACCAAATGGAGCCTTATTTCTCCTAAGAATAATAGAATAGCTTCTTTTATTAAGAGCCCTACCTAACTTCTAAGAAAATTAAACAACTTTTATTAATTATTCCTACGTTCACAGCATGGAGACTCAAGTATCGTTAACTTGTTCAATCTGATGGTTGGCTACACTACCCTTTCCCCAATGTTATAAGAAAAGGAGGAAAAGGAAAGAAATCATTTATTTTATTGTTTTCATGTGTATTTGGTTATTGTTCGCAGCTTTCCTGGTTCCCGTTCTTTCTATTTGATACAGATTGGATGGGAAGAGAAGTATATCACGGAGATCCGAAGGGGAATGCTTCTGAAATTAAATTGTATGATCAAGGTGTCAGAGAAGGTGCATTTGGTTTGCTATTAAATTCTGTAAGAACAGAAAATTGATCACAGATTTCAAGTTTCTCTTAGATATTTTCCTCCATTATTTGAAGATGATATATTGGTATTATTGTTGTGGCTGTAGATGATTATATTTCTTATTTATTTCATTAGTTATACTTCTGTAAATTTTTGGTGTAGGTTGTTCTGGGCATTAGTTCTTTCTATATTCAACCAATGTGCCAAAAGATGGGATCAAGACTTGTTTGGGCAATGAGCAACTATACAGTCTTTGCCTGTATGGGTGTTACAGCTATCATTAGTTTGGTTTCTGTCAGAGAATATTCTCAAGGGATTGAACACGTATTTGGAGGAAGTGGAGCAATCAAGATTGCCGCTTTGGTTATATTTGCTCTTCTTGGCTTTCCTTTAGCTGTATGTTTCAAATGACTTGCAGTAAATTTCTATATGCTTAAGTGTTTGTTTAACAATGTTGTATTTTTGCTCATTTATTTGTTCTTTTCTTTCAGATTACCTATAGTGTTCCATTTTCCGTTACAGCAGAGTTGACTGCCGATTCTGGTGGTGGCCAAGGTTCATAAGTCATTTTTCTTCCATAGAAAGTGCTTCTTACCGCAGTTGTCAAATTCAGAAAATTGTAACAATTTGTATGTCTGTGCAGGATTGGCAATTGGAGTTCTGAACCTAGCAATTGTTCTTCCGCAGGTATGTAATTTGATAAGTCATCACATTTAATTTTACCTCAAACAAAATCGTTTCAGAAGATGTCTTACTATTTACGAAGTTTGGTTTTTCTTTTCATAGCTTATATTGTACTTAATTTGAGGTCCAAATATCTAAGTGTTTTGGCGCCTTCTGTTTGCTTTATGTTTTTGCTATATATGTTTGTCATATCAATTTGAATTTTGATGCATTGTAAGTTGAATGAATAAAAGGTACCATATATGCTTTCGCAATTACGTTAAAGTTTATTAAAATTTAGTTGAATTCGATTTGTAATATATAGTTGGTTTCTTCAGATGATTGTATCTCTGGGTGCTGGCCCGTGGGATGCTCTATTTGGTGGAGGAAATATTCCAGCCTTTATTTTGGCTTCCTTCTGTGCTCTAGCTGCTGGGATTATTGCAACTCTCAAGCTGCCTGATCTGTCAAGTTCCTTCAAGTCATCTGGTGTTCATTTTGGCTGAAGAGAAAAATGGCGAAAACCAATCTATATAAGATGCTTGGAAATGTGGAAATGCTGCCGTTTAGTTTCAGAAGATGGCTATCATCATTGGTATGTATAATTTTCTTATCATAAATAGATGAGCATTACATATCCAAATTCATTCATTTCCCCCACATTTTGTAGGTTTATGTACTAGATGTAGAGTGTAAATTTCCGATCATTATATTGAAAAGGATATACACATTCTAAGCATGATTGGTGTCTAATTTACTGAGAACTGAATTTGTAGCATATCTAGCATTATAAAAGATCAATTCTCATTAACATCAAGCATTTGGTATTTAATGACGTGAATGATTTAGCAGCATAGCTTGTTTGGTGTTACTTTGGTGAGCATCCATTTGCATTTGTAGTTTCGATGCAACTCTTGTTTGAGTATAAGTGGGCAGCATAGCTATTTTGGGGTTGGTATTTCTGGATGACGTGTGATGATGTGCACAAACAGTGGGTTTGGTTAGGGTTGGATCATGATGCCTTAATTGTCAAGTAGGTGCAAATTCTTATTTATTTCTATGGTTCGACTGTACTATAATGTCTGCTAATGCAAGGTCTTTCGGCATTGTTACGTATATTAAGCGTCGTACCTACCACGATAAACATGGTAACCTCCTCTACCTGTCCAAAAAATGTTGAGATGTCTCACGTTCCAAAACCGATCAAAAAAGTCGAGTCTATAACAGAGTGTTGAGATGCGGATATTTTGTTAATCTGAACGAATCAATGCCTCCAAAATTATATCTTTCGTCCCCACAGGAGCTGCTCCTACTCCTCTTACTGGCGCCAAGACGCTCCTGATACTGAACAAGTCTAAGTTACTTTATGGTATTCCCTCGATCAAGGAGGACTTGTTATACCCCCAAAAACTTCTAAATCTTGTCAATTCTCCATCAGTCAAGGTCTTTAAAACAGACCTCTTCGCTTATCGTAGCTATCGAGGAGTTTACATCCTTTGGTATAGTTCCTCGCGTCAGACACAGTACTGGATAAGAATTTTGACAAATTTATGATATACGACTAGATCTATTTTATCTTTTAACTTACATATAGCTATAATTACCTTAGGTCTGATATCACTAGACTAGTCATTATAAATCAATCTCAACATGACCAAGAGAAAGGTTGGAACAATCACATCTTATGTATCATCTCCTTCATCCTTCGTGACCAACTCTCTTCAGGACAAAACCATTGTTCAATGATTGTTTCCTCATCAATTGTAGTTCACCGTCCAAATCAGAAGTGGTGAACATTCAACGACCAACGAAACAAACTTGTTTCCATCAACAAATATAAACATTTAAGTTCGCACGTTATGACATAAAATCATGTATTTGTCACTAGTTATTACTCGATAACTAATAAAGTTGTCCCCAAAAAAAAAACATCCAATACATTTTCATGTTTTTGTCTAGGGTGAGTGTTTTATTGAGTTAAAGAATTTCAAGTTATTTGAGTTGATGAGTCATATTTTATAACTCAAATTTGATTTGAAATTTTTCGAGTCGAGTCAAGTTGTTCAAGTTTCTATTTAAATTTAATTGTAAATATTTATAATTTTATGCTATTATTTGATTTCAATTTAAATGGTTTTCTATAACCATATATATATTTCTTCATATATGATATACAAATATTATATAGAGTTGAGGGATTTGGCTCAAATTTAGAAATCAAACTCCTAATTGCTAAAAGTTAAGTTTCAAGTTATTTAAGTTACTATTCGAGTTGTATTTTATAACGTGATTTGAATTTAAATTTTTTTAGTTAAGATTATGAAACTACAAATCGAAATATATTTGAGTAGAGTCAAAAAGATCAATTTTTTAATCGAATCAAGTTTTATTCATCCCTATCTCAATCTATGTTGTGCATTGACTTGAATCATATATACAAAATATAATAAGAAAAAAAAAGGTTGATGTGATCACCCTGCATTCCCGGTTATTACAACAGGGGAATGTAGATTTCATTCTCATGGAAATCTTAAATTTCACGAACCAAACAACCCCTAACCAAGTCAAATCCTTCGTATCCTTAACTCATTATGGGTAAGTACCGAGGTGCCTATTAATCTACATGTATATTTAGTAGGGATGATTGGAGAACCTTTTAGCACCCAAACCACATATAATAAACCTGCTAAAGCTTAAGTTTATTGCTTCTAAAAGTTAATTGTATGCTTACAGAAGGTACTAAATAGTTTTTTTGGATCCATTTTAGATATTATGTTATAAATTAAAATTAAATAATTGAGGATAATTGGAAATTTAGAAATTTAAGCTTTTTGAGGTTAGGTTGAAAATCAAATTTTCTTTTTCCGGTAAAAAGGTATAGATTGAGATAAGAACAGTACACAAATCTAATAGGAGGAAAAGATTACCTATGGTAATATCAAGGAAATAAACGAAAACAAAACAATCAAGACAATGGAAAAGTTAACGCAAATCCAATCAACAACCAGCCAACAAAATAACAGCCCCAACACTAATGATTCACGCTATCAGCAAGAAGGAGAGGCTCCACCCATGCTGGAGCAGAAGCAAGAATAATCACATCAAGTAGATTGAAGCTTGCACTTTTAGCTAAAGCATCAGCCATTTTGTTTTCATCATGACGGACATGCTGAACCTTAACAATCCAGTTCCGATTACGAAGATCAGATAAATGTTTACTCAACGGATGAAGACCGTTGTAGTCGTTTCGAAGAAACCGAAGAACTTCCAAACAATCAACTTCAAGAACAATATTTCCACAGCCCGCTTCCCAGGCCAACAAAAGACCAATGTATGCACCCCGCTCAGCATCAACCACCGAGCAAATACCAATAAACCTATGGAACCCAAATTTCCAAGAGCCAGTGCTATCCCAAGCGACATTACTTATGGGATAAAAAATCACTTTTCTATTGCTAGAAGTTTTTCCGAACCGGTTAAAAGTTGATCAATTTCCTCAAAAATATTTAAAAATTCATATTGTGATCAGAAAACTCTTGAAAAAGGATAGTCAACATCTTCTAGAGAAGATTCAAGGAAGGATAATGCATTGGTCCAAAAACAACTAGTCCATGCTGCATATTAAGGCTTGTTCATTCAATAGTTCTTAGTATTGTAAATTACTGGCGTAAACAACCAGTGTTTCTTAAAGTTGTGCTCAACAAAATCAGTCAGTTATGCACCGAGTTCTGTTAGAAAGGCCAATTGTTTCATTTGTTCGGGTTAAAGCCAATTGTCAATATGTTTTCTCATTTATATTAGAGGGTGGTTTAGGATTGAAAGACATTCATTGTTGGAATAAGGTTTATCTAGTATTGTTTATATAAAATATCCTTGCAAGGGAAAGCCTCGTTTGAGTTGTATGGATTCATTCTTATGTATTAAAGAAATTTGAATTTCTTTATGTTAGTTATTCATTTTACTGATTGTGTCTACTCTGAAATTTTATGTGTCTACCCCGTAAGCAAAATTTCTGTACTTTATATATATGTGTCCACCTTCAAAAATATTTTTGAATCCATCACTCTTACTTGATGTCCCCAAACATGGAGTTATTTCTTAGCTAGCCATATTAGACGTGCTTGCTACAAAAGACAAGCTGACTAATTAAGATGAGTACTTCTTACATTCCGCCGTTGCCAGAACCAAATACTTCTGATATCAGAAGATTTGTCATAACCAAATCTACATATTAACAATTGTATTTAAATACGTCGTTGGCTTACATTTAGATAATAATGACTTTATATTTGACACCAACATGCAAGATCAATATAGAGCCCTTATAATAAACAAAGAAGTTTTTTTCCTTCTTCTGAATCTTCCTCTCGGGCTATTTCTATCTCAAAAACTCTCCTTTTCTTTGTTATTAACATCACTGACTAACTATTCGTTTTATTACCAACTGTAATTCTCAACTCAAATAACAAAAGATAAACCATCTATAATTCAACTTATTTCATTAATTTAAGTTTGACGAGGATAGGACATGAAATGAGTATTGGGATAGAGACGGGGGCTCAAAGACAAAATAGACCAGCTCTTGTTGGGTCCGTTTTTGTTTCGGCTTTTCAATTTTAGACGATGTGAAAATTCAGAATTAAAACTTATAGTTTGAAATGGATACGCATTCACATACAGGGGACTGAAACTGGATGGGAAAGAGGCCTGATGATGCATGATCCCTGTTGGTGGTTAGGTGGCAGTCTCAGTCCCTGCTCCCATTCCCTACATTCCTTTCCCTTTACTTCCTTCTCTTCTATCTCAAATAACCATGTACACTAAACTCAACTATGGAATGAACACTCTACTTCGTATACCTGTGGATGCTTCATGAAAATTTTAACATGTCCTTGTATTTCAAGACAGCTGTCTTTGCTGAGAAAAACTCCACTATTTTGTCTCCCAAGTGTGGGAAAAGAAAAAAGATGAAATTTTTTTAACCATGTTTTCTCTCTCTTGTCCTAAAAAAGAAAGCTTTTCCCTCTGCAATACCAAAGGTCCTATATTTATAAAGCAAATAAAAGTAAAGGTCCTTTTTTTCTTTCCTTTAAATCAAAGAGAAGTGAAACTCTATTAATCATTCATGCATATCTCTCTCTCTATCTCTATCTCTATCTCTCTCAGCATTTATTTTATACAAGCTATCCCCTTTTAACAAATCACTGCATCACCCTTCCAATTCAAAAATTCCCAGTTTTTTTTCCTTACATCAAAAATCAAATCTATGTTTTCTTGCATTGAACTCCGTGTACAGTCCGAGGATCTGCTGCCTCATGAGACGATGAATATAGAGTTCTGTTAATAGTATTGGAAAAGGCTTATTAGAACCCCTCCTTCTTGTTCATGTCTTGCAATGGGATGGCTTTTTTCCCAGCAAATTTCATGCTCCAAACCCCTCAAGACGAAGATCATCAACCCTCAACTTCTATCAATCAAATGCTTCATTCTTGCCCACTCCAAGACTTCCACGGTATTTATATTCATCTTTCTTCTGATACTGATGAAACTATTCACACATATATGTATATGTATATGATTGATGATGGTTTTGATTTGGTTTTTAGGTGTGTCATCGTTTCTTGGGAAGAGATCAATGTCATTTTCAGGGATAGATGTGTGTGAAGAAGCAAATGAGGAGGAGGATTTGTCAGATGAGGGTTCTCATGCGGGAGAAAAGAAGAGGAGGCTTAACATGGAACAGGTGAAGACTCTTGAGAAGAACTTTGAGTTGGGTAACAAGCTTGAACCAGAGCGAAAAATGCAGCTGGCTCGAGCTCTTGGGCTGCAACCAAGGCAGATAGCTATTTGGTTCCAAAATAGAAGAGCTAGGTGGAAAACCAAGCAACTTGAGAAAGACTATGATCTCCTCAAGAGACAGTACGAAGCCATCAAAGCTGATAATTATGCACTCCAAGCTCAGAACCAAAAGCTTCATGATGAGGTATTAATCTTAACCAAAAGTCTTTGTTTTATGTTAAGAAAAAGCTTCATGATGAGGTATTTATCTATGATTGGATGCAGATAATGGCACTGAAAAGCAGAGAACCAACCGAGTCAATCAACCTCAATAAAGAAACCGAAGGTTCTTGCAGTAACAGAAGTGAAAACAGCTCAGATATAAAGTTGGATATCTCTAGGACACTGGCAATTGACAGCCCCTTGTCGACTCATCCGACAAGCATAACCTTCTTCCCAACATCCAATATTAGACCGACAGGTGGTGGAGGTGGTGGTGGTGTTGCACAACTATTCCAGGCCTCATCATCAAGGCCGGATCACCATCAATGCCAAAAGATGGATCAAATGGTTAAAGAAGAAAGCCTCAGCAACATGTTATGCACCATTGAAGATCAAACCGGGTTTTGGCCATGGCTTGAGCAACAACATTTCAATTGATCATGGTACCATATATAGTATTAATATCAATGTTTTGGTACCTTCAGAGTGGTGCATAAAACTTGAACTATATCCAGACTCCAGTTAAAACTGTTGGTGTGAAAAGATAGTTATGGGGGGAATAAAAATGTTGTTTGTACTGTTGAGTGTTTGAGGAGAAAAAGAAATGCTTGAGATTTGCATTGAAATAGAGCCCTTTGTGATGGATTTTACAGATTCAATCCTTCAGTGAACAAAATATACTCAAAGTTGATTATATCAAACTATATATTACAGGGTAAACTACAAGTTTGGTCATCCATCTATTTTCTTGTGCATATCCTACACACATTTCAAGGGAAGAAGAAGACAAGGAGATGAGGAAAAAAACAAGGGGGAGTTGGAAAATGCACCGCATCCTCGTGAAGGGGACGTAGGCAATGGCAAATCCTGTGCTGACAAACAACGGAAATGGCATCCAAATGCCAATGTAGGCCTCCTTTTTTGAGCGTTTGATTGCTGCAGCAAACCAAATTGATAATAATAATAATAATACTAAAGACTCGTGTGACCCACTTACTGTCACCCCCCTACAATCCAACACAGTCCTCTCTTTACCCCACTTTCATGAATCATGATTCTCCCTTTTCTTCCTTTGCTTTCTTCTTCTACGTTCTACTACTTTCATTTTCTTCTTTAATTTTCAGTGACAGCTACAAATTAATTGTCAATTGCATCACTTCTTTTTTCTCACTTTCATCCAAATCAATAATGCTCATTTACAGTTTAGTCCATGTGTTTGCCATCTAATTATCTCATCTTCTACTAACTATACGCATTGTAATAGTGTAAGCATGATAATAACGAATATAAAATAATTGCTAAATAAAAAATATGAAGATTTAGTGTGAAAAAAAAACCTTTTCAGAAAAAAAATCATATATAGAAGAGGAGAAAACTCACCGTATCAAAAAAGAGTACAAAAAGGTTTATATTTAAACATGATTTAGGGTTTAATCAAAGTATATCTAAACCCTAATATCTAACATCTATTTATAGGAACAAAGTTGCTTGTTTATAAATAAAACTTACATTGAAAGAAATATACTCAATTGAATTTTGTACTCTTCTTTAATGCACAAAAAAAAAAGTAGAACATAGATTGAACTGCTCCGTCCTCCATTACATATCCATATTTTAACCTCCATTTTAAGTGAGTCATACAACTCTAACACACATGATCCCTAGTTAACTCGTTAAATTATAAATCACCACTCAGGTATTCGTTAATTATCATATCTAGCAAAATTCAAAGTCTTTTTCTCTGCTTTACTTCATAATCAAAACATATTCTGTGAACACCCAAATTGGGACGTCATAATATTCATATATATTATATGTGGATAAGAAAAATTGTTGGAGTTTGTCACTGTACAGTCCCATTGCTTTCAGCTTGTGATTTGGACTTGGTTTTTATAAGCTAGTGCCGATGGAATAGGATGGATGATCTGTATATGTCAGGCTACTACAGTGATATTAAACTGATGAATTCTTTTTAATATATTAATTGGGGTTGCCCACAATGTCCACATGGGAACAAGAAAAGTACAACTAGGGTTTCGGTTCCTGCTTGGTAGCCCACCCTTGCATAGGATTCTTTTCCTTTGTATTTGTATATGTAATGTTAAAAGCCTATAATGCAGATTAGCTGTGTATATTATTAAATGTAAATTCATTTGGTGGACTCCATAAACAAATACGCTAACAGATGGATCAGAAAATCATGCAAATAAACATAGATTCTGGGGCTATAATTTGCCAATAACCCTATTAGATATGTAAGAAAATTGTATACTTTTAAAATAGATTAGGGCAAACAACGTATTTAGTCACCCGCCTATTCTCGTGGTTCTATTTTTGTCATTTAACTATTTTTTTTTCAAAGTGAATCATATCTAAAGATTACTTTTTTGGTCTGTTTTGATAACCCATCGTTAATTTTTTAACGGTAATGTTGATGTGTCATCATAAGATAATTAATTTCACGTCATCATTTAAAAAGATAAAAAATATTATGTTGACAATTCTATTTATTTTTTACCGACGGGTGATCAAAATAGAACTAAAACGTAATGTTATGTATGATTTCGTGAAAAAAAAATAGTTGAGTGACCAAGACAGAACTGTATGAATAGGAGAATGACTAAATACATAGTTTACCCAATAATTTATTTGAAATATTTTTATACATATATGTTTTATGGGATCATGTGAAGAGATTTGAGGTAATCTTCGTTTGGCAACATGTCCGGAAACCTTGGCATTTGGTTAATGCAGTTTTAAAATGCCAACATGTATTAGTGATTTTTATTTTATTTTATTTATCTCGAATAATTACAAGACAATATATGTTTAAAGATAACTTTTAATCATTTTATATTAAATACTTACACTTTTGGCATTCATGGTGCTCGAACTTAGGACCTAAAAAAATAACAACAATTCCTCTACTTCTGAGATCGATCGGGTCACGCTGATTAGTGATTTTAAATTATGTTTAGGGGAAAAATAATAATTAAGAAATGGGGTAATGCTAGTTGGGTAGAGCTTGTTTCCCGGCCACGTGCATGCTGGTTTTAAATTTTTAATGGCTTTGATTTGAGGAAAGACTGATTAATTATTAAGTATTAGCAAAAAGGAATATCGGATGATATAATTAAGATAGAATTTAAGAAGATGAGAATTCGGATCCCTGCATGTATGCGATTATTAATTAATTAATTACTACATATCTTTATTAATTAATTAAGCAATGAATATTTTTTCCTTCGTAATAACCTGAATTGTGGGTTGTGTTTACTCGACTGAGTCCAACTTCTATATGTGATTAAATAAAAGAAAAAAATCATCAAATACTAATATTTAAAAATATATTTCAGTTATATTAATTTGTTTAATATTTTTTCATATAAAAATAATAATTGATTTTGTCTGCCCTTTTAACATGGACCGTATTTACTCTTAAAATATGTCTTTTCTTTTCTCAGAATTAAATCTTACATTAAATATAACTTAAAATATAAATAAAACATATTTATTTATTAATCAATTATAACAATTGTTTAGTAATATATGTGTTTTTATAATCTCCAATTTTTTTCTATCATCATTAATTGTATTATATGATAGGGTGCTTAGTCATTTTCTCGAGCTCTGAGTATATTATTACCGGAATATATTATTATGACACATGTATTTATAGCATTGAAAAATTAAATTTATTCAACTAAAATAAAAATAAAAGTATTAACATCAAATATGTGTAATTTTATCAAATTTTAACTGTTACATCGACTCTATCAAATGTTAACTGCACATGACTCAATGGGTCATAGGTTCGAAACCCCTTAACATCACTTACTTTTGTAATATATTATTGTGACACATGTCAATATCTAATTGAAAATTTGAATTTATTAAATTAAAAATAAGATCAAATTGATGAAATATGTAAGTATTGATTATTAAATCTATAATTATATCAATTTTAATTATCACATTAACTCTTCCATAAAATGTTAACTTCATATGACTCGATGGACTTTAGGTTCAAAACCCTTTTAGCATCACTTCTTATTGTAATATATTATCGAGACACATGTTACTATTTTATTAGAAAATTAAATTTATTAAATTAAATTAAAGATAAGACAAAATTAATAGAATACGTAAGTATTAAGGACGAAATGTGCAACTATATCAATCTTTAACTGCCATATTAATTCTTCTATAAAATGTTAACTTTAGATGGCTTAATGGTACAACGACGAATGATCGATTTGTTATAAATCGATAATATCAATGACTAAATCTTTACTTTTTGAAACATTAGCGAGGAAAAGAAAAACCTACTCACACATCAATGACACTTATGTAATTTACTCAACAATAATTTTTTAGTAATTGAGGTAAATGCATGGTAGTATATGTTTAAAAATGACTCTCAACTATTTGATTTTGGATGCTCACATCTCTGACATTTGTGGTATTTGAACTCGAAATTTCAAGAAAAAACATCAATTCTTTTATCATCAAAGTCATTTAATTCGTGCGGAATCAACTATTTAAATGTTTGCAAAGCCCAATAATTACGATTTAGGTTTACAGTTAAAAATTAAGCTTAGGGATAAGAAAAGTGTTTCCCAACAAAATTAAGATTAAAATTGAGCTTGGGAATAAGAAAAGTATTTAGTAAAGACAGATATAGCTCGACCGGTATAAATTGTTTGAGAATAACTGAATCCATAGACTTGCAAAGTCGATTTTTAAAGAAGCCAGAGAGTAATCAAAGATGGAAATCTATTGAAAAGATTTACACAAATTAAGATCAAGTAGAACTTGATTCGATTCGAAAATTTGATATAGTTCAATTCGAATTTTATATATTTGAGTCAAAAAATTTTAAATAAAGATTGAACGATGAAACATGACGTGTCAACTTGACTAACTTTAAATTATTTAATCCGATTAGTTCAACTAACTCGGATATTTACCCATAATTCACCTGACATTTTGAACCCATTTTTGATCAAATTTAAATTACATACTCATGTAACACTATATAATATCTATATAACTTCAATTCTTATAATATATATATAACTTTAATTCATATTTTTAACATTAAATTTACTCTTTTTACAATTTAGTCCATTGACTTTGAATTTTATTTAAGTTATATTTTTACTGTTTTTTTTAAATTCTTTCTTTTTCATAATTTATTGACTCTTTTATACTATCATCATTACTTTTTTTCCAGCCCGTAGCTGAGCCTGGACAGGAGAGCATCTGTCCAGAGCTCCCTCTTGTCTATGGCCCAAAATTTTGAATTCCAACATTAATTAAAACTGATAAATTATCTATTTAGTCATTCATATATTATTTTATTTATGTTTTGGTCTTTTAATTATTATTTTTTTAAAATCATACTTAACGTTACATTTTATTTCTTTTTTTATTACTCGCCATTCAAAAATTTACGGCGATGCTTAGGTTATTTTTTAAAATATTTTCACTTTTCACTTAATTATTCTTTTAT